TGCATTGGAACATAGTTTTAGAGAAGTCCTACAGTGACAACAAAGGCATCTTACAGAAATGGCAGGTGCATGAGGTTGGGACGGAGCTCCACTTCCATATCCAGGCATTGAGGGGTTAGTCGCAGGGGCTCCTGGGTAATTTGGCATGGGCTGGCCCGGAGCTGGGCCCCCTGGATATCCCTGCTGAGCCCCTCCCGGCTGCAAACAGAGGACAACTGTTAGTGTTAAGTGTTAGGTGCTTGGTTACAAACTCTATATAGCAAATAGGGTTTAAGTAGGAGATAAGGTGATTTGAGCAAACAGAAGATTTAGCTGAAGTCAGTCCATATGTTATTAGTATGGCCGGTCAGAGGTAAAGAGTGAGATAGGAATGTATCTACCGCTCCATGGCCGCCTGGTGCTGCACCCCAGCCTCCACCTGCAAGGAAAATATTGACATAAAATCAAAACACTATTTACTTAAAGGACAATTCTGACTTTGTATAATGCATATAATAGGGGTGTTGCATTTGTGATTTTTTTTTAACTAATAGATGGCATTGATATTATTTGTTTCAGCCATATAGACATATATTTATGTGAGGAGAGAAATACTGCATGTAAGTTCTCAACATTCAAAAATATCTTGGAGGCTCACCTGATGGAGGCATGGAAGGATAGCCTCCTGCTTGGGGTGGTGGTTGGTATCCTCCAGCCTGGGCAGGGTAGCCCCCGGCCTGGGCAGGGTAACCCCCGGCCTGGGGAGGGTAGCCCCCTGCTGCTGGAGGGTATCCACCTGCTGCTTGGGGGTAACCACCAGCCTGAGGTGGGTATCCTCCTGCCTGTGGGGGGTAGCCACCTGCTGCAGGAGGGTAACCGCCTGCTTGGGGTGGGTATCCTCCTGCCTGTGGGGGGTAGCCGCCCGCTGCTGGGGGGTAACCGCCTGCTTGGGGTGGATATGCTCCTGGTTGAGGCGGGTAGCCCCCTGCTTGTGGTGGGTAGCCCCCTGCTTGTGGTGGGTATCCACCGGACTGAGGGTATCCTGGGTAGCTCATCTTCAGAACCTGAAAGTGACAAAAATAATGATGCATCATTGTCGATGTGTTGTATGAGGGCTATGTGAGTCTTTTTGACTGCAGCACCCGTTAAAAAAAAAACACATGATTTTCTTGGAATTTCTGGAGAAATATCGGTTTTAATAGCCATGTCATGGCTATTTCTACTGATCATAATTCCATTGTTGAGGTATACTAAATCAGATTTATATTGTGCAATTTTCCAAAATCACATTGGTTTCTCATACAGCATCTCTGTATAGTATGTGTATTCACTCTTTGTCCTAAACGGCTTGTTGGAGCTCCTGCCCCCCCCTCCCTATGAGCCCAGTGGCCGTCTGCGAGACACAGTGAAACCCAGCCCGAACACACACAGCCTGGCTGGGAGTTTGTGTGTGTGCTCACACACCGACTCACAGCCTTGCCGCGTCCCGCCGTCTCAGGGAGGAGAAATCGGCGGAGCTGCAGCTGAGAGATGTATGTGTGTGTGTGTGTGTGTGTGTGTGTGTGTGTGTGTGTGTGTGTGTGTGTGTGTGTGTGTGTGTGTGTGTGTGTGTGTGTGTGTGTGTGTGTGGTGTGTGTGTGTGTGTGTGGTGTGTGTGTGTGTGTGTGTGTGTGTGCGTGTGTGCGCGTGTGTGTGAGGGGTTAACGTAACGGCTCCGCGGACATAACGGCTCCACGGATTGGTCCATTTGGGTATGGGCACGTCACTGTACCCAGGAAGAAAACAATGGAAAAAGAGGGACCTTTAATGTTTTTCTAGGGGTATACTACCCCGTGAAAAGGCCTTCCTCCAGAGATTGCCCTTATCAATTGCCTGGTAGGCACTGGGTGGAGCGCGATGATGGAGTGTCAAAAGATGATAAAAACTACAGAATGTGTTCAGCAATCAAAACAGACTGAAAAAAGCTAATGCTAGTGTTACTCCAAATTGACCCGTTTCTTTCACATTTTTCTTTGAATTTAGTAAAACAAATATAAAATCAATCCAATATCGGCAAAAATGTAATTAACAGTAGTAAAAAAAACAGTCATGTGCTATTAGTACCAGGTTTTGAAACAGTGGTCTAAAAATGATGAACTGATACCCAACCCCTCACTGTGCCTCGGTCCTAATAAAATGTTTTACCTTCCACCTACACTCTGATAAGTTAATGAATGAACTGCAACTTCAGGCAAGGACGTCACTGGTCATTCTTGCAGATAAATCTTGACAGCTTTGTGACCACATACCCATTAAGACAGCAGAGACTCACCACTTACATCTGCCTAAATCCTTAACATGTGGTGATGACACGAAGTGTGCTCATTTTTTTTTAAACAGAGTTGGTTTCCTTCCCTTTCTCGCAAAAACACCAAAAGAGAACCCTGTATAATTGAGAGTTGTAGTGGGAATACCATAGCTGTTTAGGTGCCTGTGTCACCCCATAGCTAAGCAAAAATACTAATCAAAGATAAAATTGGCTACAATTACAGATAATTGAACAGAATGTAAATACACTTGGTTTACATGCGCACAAGACAACAGATTCGGAGAAAAAAACACTGCAGTGAGACCTGTTCAGAGTCATCTCAGTAGTTCTCATTACCGTGTAAATATGATTAAATGTTACAAATACTCAACATTTTCACTCTGTCAACAAGACATGTTGATAGTATTACAGGCAAAATACATGTCGGTTACGTAGTGCTGGTAAAAGTTCAGATGTAATTATTCTGAATTCAAAGATACATCATATCGTTTTTAAGGCGGACATAATCACACTGTGTAAGTAGTGACTTCATGAAGGGCGGTTTTTTGTTGACACTCCCTTTCCAGTCCTCTCCTTTGGACCGTTGATGGCACTGGTGATGCTTTTAAATGCTCTTGTAATTATCAGAATTTCCACTACACCACATATTTATGACCCCAAGGATGAAAAATATATGGTATGAGTGACGTATGAGCAATGATATGATTGATATAAGAATCTTCGGCATTTGATTACTAAACGTAAATTTAAACAAGTACATATTTGTTCGTTTATTTATTTATTTTTAGAAATAAACGCGATTGAATTGCCCGACGTGGTTTACATGTTTTACACTTTCGATTTATACAGCGAACTAGTTGAGATCAGATTGCTGCTTTTGTTAAAGTTTACAATTATAACACTCCCGTATACGGACCTACGGAACTACAGGCCTACCTTAAAGCACCAGTATGGCCATTCAGTAGTTACACTTCCTGCTTGTTTTTACGAGGAGCACAGGAACGCACCATTAAAATGCAATGTTATCAAAGGCCTGTATTTACAAAATTCGCCAACTAAAGCTTCTGCAACGCTAAGATTTTACAATAGGTTACTTCCGCAGCAGTCAATAATAAAGTATAACAGGCCTACGCAATGATATTTAACTTAAAATTGAACGTCACGCTAACATCGTCATTGATGTCGAAGAGTATCCTGTGGTTCGTTAGCGTGACAAGATACTCCCAAGACAACGTTTTGCATTTAGCATGGTTCTCTTTATACATCCATGGTGCAAACAAATACTACGTTAGCTACAGTATAACATTTCCGTTCGCCATGTTAAGACTTTTACTATGAAGAAACGTTGTTAGCTGGTGTTGAGCAACCCCACTCCAACTGTGATGCCTTGGCGAGGCGAGGCTAATTTCCTACATTCCTCAGTAATCCACATACGCCTTTAACGCTATCCAAGTAATGTTGTAGGCTACTTCGTTGTCGCATGAAACGCAGTGCAGTACAGATATTTAGCGGGTGTTTACAGTCAATAACAAAGATTTACTTACTTATCGGGCACGGACTTCAGATAGAGGAAGAGACGAGAGGCAGAGCAGTGGAGAGAGTGCCGGAGGTGGGTGGGTCCTCAGCATTGTTTCCGTCCTGCAGTAATAACCTTTCTCTGTTATTATCCACAGCCTGGCGTTGAGTCAGCGAGCTGTGGGCCTAAATCGCCATTTTCACCACAGATGACATTGGATCATATGACAAGACGAATATTGGATTTGTTTCCGTGGATACATCATGTGGATAATTTAGTTTAGTTTAAAACAAATCTATTGTGAAACTTGATTTTTCCATATTAGCCTATATTTGATATTTTGCATGTGAACATTGTAAAGAATACGTTTGGCCTTTGTATTTCCTGCAAAAAACAACAACAACAACAACAACTTTGATTTATATTAGGCTACTTCGAACTTAGCCTACTACTTTAAATATGAAATCGTTATGTCTTTGAAGCGCCTAAAAACTTAAATGACGAAAAAGCCAGCCCTGCCCTGAATACATTACATGTTCTCAATTGTTTAATGAGCTAAGATGGTTGTAAGATTTGAATTGTGTATCAAAAAAGAAACACTAGATGGCAGCAGTCTACTTGTCAAGTTGTGCATTGCACCATTCATCATTTTGTCTTTGTAGTCAAATAAAGGTTTACCAAAAATAAAAAACCTGAAAGTCAGTGTTCCTTATGTGTGTTTTATTGTCAGTCTACCTGAGGACCATGACGTGAGGAATTTTCTTATTTTACAAAAGGCAAGTCCTTCATTTAATAAAAAAATAACTAGTAGCCTACTGTGGAGTATGGCTACTAGTTCTTTTTTTAAATTCTAGATGGTAGTTGTAAACAGTAAAGAGAGAAGTGTCAGGAAAAAGGACATAACTTAAAAAAGGACAACAAGTACAACGTTGTGTAATGAAATAACCCAAAAAGTAAATGGGTTTCAAACAAACAACACATTTTCCCCTTCCTATAAAGCTTAGTTTGAGATCATATAGGCCTAGCTCTACAGTACAATGATCGTCCCTCTCAGAAACAGGCTACCCAGTAGGCTACTGTGGATGAATAATTAAAAAAGTGTTGCAGAAAGATGCAAACTCTTTATGGACCTCCTCTCCGCTGTGACCCAGCCCACAGTCCTGGCTGCTGCGCTGCTGACGCTTCCCACTGGCATTCACGCTTTTGCGCTTCATGCTTCCACTGCGCTCTCCCCCGAGACAGTTGTCCTGTTACTGGGGTCCTTCAGGGCTCCCCAGGTTCGCCCCTCTAAGAGCCGGAGCAAGGGGGATGACTGAGAGAAGTTGTGTGACCCAGAAAATCCGGTGGTTCTGACGGCACTGTTCCAAGAGGTGCAGTCCTCCAAAAAGCAAAAATGATGTCTGCTATAGAGACCGGTGCCCCTGTGTACCAACCTGCGCAGCTGCTCAACTGGGTCTACATGTCTTTGCAAGACACTCAGAACAGCACTTTTGATGCGTTCAAAGCCGAATCGGACACTTCTCCTCAGGACATGAACATCTCCAAGCGCACCGCAGCTGATCTGAGCGCCAACTATCTCAACAACTTCTTCCAGCTGAGGAGTGAGGTAGAATTCATGTCATGTCATATCGTGCTAATTATCAACTCTTTGCATATAGGCTACATAATTCATGCTCTGTTGAAAAATCCATGCACTCATTAATCATCTTTTTTTTGCTGCATGTCAAAAAGCTCTCTCCTCAGATGAATATATACCCACATTTTTCACTCCAGGTTATTTTTGTTGCCCATACAGTAAACCTCACCTGCATGCCTCCATTGGGTCGCACTGTGGTGAGTGGGTAGTACATGAATATGTGTTTTGTACCCTGGTATAGTGCCTGAGTGTGTTCAGACTGTTCTGGTGTCAGTGTGCAGCTGCAGGGGGAATGGCAGGTTGAGAAAGACCTCTCACAAGCTTTTTAAAATGTTACAGTTCACCCTGGCCGGCCTCTGCTCACTCAGAGGAGTATGCTGTGCACTCTGGGGGGCCTGGTGCTGTTTAATTTAATACCAACACATTTAGCAAAAGAGGGAAAATAGAGATGAATCATTTAAAAGGAGGTTTTAAGTAAAATATTGGCATGAAAAGTCATAATTTGCTGTTTAACTTTAAAATAAACAAGCCTAAAGACATTTCAGTGCACACATGCCACAGACATGCAGAGGTTTCATGTCTCATGGACAGCACTGCAATGTACATCTGATCACAATTCTCTTTCTGTGGTGCCAAAAAGCTAGTGTCTGCAGGCTGTTCTACATGCTTGCCCCTGCGGTGCCATAGCACCCGTCTCCTCTAGAGACACAATGATGCTGATTGTGCTGTGCCAAAAGAACAAGTCAAAAGAACGCATGACAAAGACATTTTGTTCTGACAAGGAAACGGACACTATTGGCCCACAGTGTAGATGCAGTAAAGGCAGCACATCTGCAGGATTGAAATAAAGTTGGCTACTGTCAGAGGCACAGACAGGAGAATCAATCAGGGGGATGGACTGACATGCTGCTTGAAATGCTCTTTCATTGTAGAGTCACCACAATGATCTTCTTTTTCTCTGGCAGGCCTTGAACAACAATTTCTACAAGAGCTCCTCGCCCTACGAGTCCCTCAACAATATCGTGGACGGCCTGAGCTCTCTGGCGGACCATTTCTCCGACCTCTCCCTGTCCCCGGAGTCACGTAAACCCAGCAAAAGGCCGCCGCCCAACTACCTGTGCCACCTTTGCTTCAACAAAGGCCACTACATCAAAGATTGCCCTCAGGTGAGCCAGTCAGTGCTGCTGTCAGTCAGGTGCAGAAACTGCAGTTTGAGCTGTTTATCAAATGCATCAAACAATATATGATGTTCGGTCTGGTGAGGTGAAGATCATGACACCATCTTCCTCTTCAAAGTTTTTTGTAGTATTAGAACTATAAAGTCCAAGTTAGAAAATGATGTTTTTCTATTATCTTTTTAGTGTGAAATAGATTCCTCAGCACATATTTGAGTTAGATGTACCACCGCATGTTGGTAATGAGCAGCAGATGCCAGATTGGATCTAGGAGCAGGCCTTAATGAAAGATGATAGGTTTCTCTGTGGAACTAGGCACGACCTCTCCTACAAACACGAGAGAAATATTACCACTGCTTTATGTGCAGCTGCGGTTCCCCATTGATCATGTTCAGAGGGAAATGCCTGACATTTGTTAGGTGTAATGGAAATAATCACATGAGTGATGGACAGGATGCGACCAAGAAGCAGCCGAGCAAAAAGTAGAAATTAAATTAGCTGAAAATCCAAGCTGTACAACTTTTTAAGGGTTGCACATTTCTCAATAGGGGGGTAACATCGAACTTAAATATAATGCATTGTTCATCAAAGATTTACTAATAGCTTTAGAATTGTAATTAACATTCAATATTATTGAATTGCATCATAGGCAGTGTGTTGAATTTCATATGAACTCAAAGCAATAGTTAGTCCTTTTTGGAAATATACGCTTAATCAGCAGAGTTTAATGGGTCTGGCGGCTATACTGTCAATATGTTGCTGGAACCTGTAAACTTAGCTTAGTATTAAAACCTGAAAAAGGGGGGGGGGGAATAGCCTTGCTGTGTCCTAAGCAAAGCTACCCGGCTTCGGACACCACCAGGTATCCTACATATGTTCTGTATGAGTGGTACCAATTTTCTCATCATGCAGCAATTGAATGAGAGCATTCCCAAAGAGATTCCTTTAACTTAACACAAAGTAGAAATTTGGCAAGAATATGTCTATCTCCTCAAATCTGTCCTGTCACTACCACATTTAGTTCTCTTTCTAACCTGGCCTAGCCTCTGAGAGCTTGTCACCTATTTTTTCGATTGGTGCAGTTCAGCAGGGAACATAGAAAGCGGAGGAATGTGAGGAATGTGGAGAAAATTATTTGCAGTGAGCTTATAGCTCTCTACATTTTTACATCTGTGCACACCTGCAGAAAGTGTGTTACTGCTGGTCCGTTGGTTTTTCAGAAATATGTTCGAAGAAAAAGTTTGAGACCAACCAGTTTCATTACAGTTTGTTTTACATAAAAATTGACACTTATTTTTGTGTATATGTCAGTCATTAGGGCCTCTTTGAGCTATAACCTGACCGGAAGGAAAACCAAGTACATCCTTGAACAGTATGTTTCTTTCAAATAAAGGATAAAGAGGCATTAATCAATTCAAAACATTCCCATTTAAAAGCTGTTTTGTATGGAGTTGTAAAAAACGTCTTATTAGCAACAGTGACTTTCTATGGCCTGTATGTTGCTTCCATAGCCGACTGGTTTGCAATGGAGCTGCAGTGGACACGAATCAAAGAATGTCACGGCTCAGTAAGATGAGAGAAGAAGCACACAGGAAGTGGGTGTGCGGGGCCTTTAACAGCCTCACTCTGGGTGGAATGGGGCCCATGTCAACTCTACAGGTCTGCTTATTTGATAAAGAAACATATGGTACCTCTATGGAAACCTTAGGTGAGGAAAAATAAGGAAAAGTGCCAATTGAGGTGGAGTACATGGATTTGAGTTATTGAAAGATATTAGCTATGCTATCCCCGCTGTGCTCTGCATGTAAGTAGTGAACATCCTGTTGACAGCAAAGTAAAGAGTTAAGTTACGTGCTTTAACAGAGGGTTAAGACGTCAAAGGATTACTCCGAGATATTTACGATTCCTATTTGCAGCCACGCCCCTTAAATGTGCAAAATCTGGAAACAATTTCTGCTGCCTGGCTCTGCTTCAGAAAGATGATGTCTGATTTGATCATGTGTTACTAATATTTCAGAACCGTACAGTTGATTACTGAGCCGTTGTCATGACAAAAGGCCTGTTCAGTTCTGTTAAAGCTGTAACTAATGAACAAACTGCTTTTTGTTCTGGTTGGCTGGAATCTGAGGCATTTTTAGCTTCAAGTGAAATACACACTGATGGTACACTTTTGATGTCTTTGTTGGGTAGGGCTGTAAAATATATTTTATTGCGATGTCAACTTGTGAGATAAACACATTGGAAGACTCTGTAGTATTGCGCTGGATCTTTTGAGTTACTTGAAAGAGAGTATCAGTAGAAAATATTTATGATGTTGTCTGTGTTGAGTGCATTGTTAAATAAAACATGTTCAATTAGTTGTATTTTAGCAGTGCACTTAAAGCAGCAAATAGGCAGAACCGAGTACACTTTAATATTGCTTTATCTATTGCCTAATATTGTTGTTGCAATATTTAACAGTCATCACATATTTATTTCCAACTTGCCATTAACTCCATCTGAAGATTCTCTTTCCTCTGTACCCATTTGATTGCAAAACCTTTTCCGTGTTAAACCAAGTGACCAAATGTGGTGCGAGTTTAACACCTTTTACCCGTTAACCCAGGGTCACAACATTTTAATGACCCCCTGCCAATTAAGTAGCTGAACCAAGTTGCTGTAAGGAGAATACACTAGTGACAGTGTGCTGACAGTACATGGGTGTATGGTGGGAAGAGCCTGGGTTAAATAAGGAGAGCATTGTTTTTCTGCAGAGGGGCTGTGGAACCAAAGGTCAGGAAGTCAGGCTGCATTGTTCGCTCAGCTCTGCTCGGCTGCAGTCATCTCCGTCCCCGTCTCTGTCTGTGCAGAGGAGCGTCCGACACTCGTTTAAAGGGCCAGCAGCTGTCCAGAGATGTCTACATCCAGAACGAGTTTTTGTAACAGCAGTGGGTAGCACAGGAAGTGGGTGTATGTCTTCACAGTTTAATCAGTTCTGAATGGAAAGGAAAAGGCTGCTTTGATAATTACTTTGGAAAGAGGAACATTTGATAATAGCATTCAAACTGATTTCTTTATTTATATTTGGCAGATATTTTTTGTTTAATTTCTTAAGTGTATCCCATGATTCAATATCCTTACAGTAACTCTATTGTGTTGCTTATCCTTAAAGGAAAAGTTGTTTTTATAAATTACGATTTGGTGTTTTACGATTCTGTTTTTCTACGAATTAAACAGACAAGATAAAAAGTGTTTGTTTGTGAACTTTGGAAGAAGTCACGCTACTTTTTCCACTGTTCCCACTCTGTTTGCCCAGCCAATTTGGCAACTGGCAATAGTTTTGTATTTAGTTTGGGATATGCAAAAATATAAACCTTCTGATCCTACTATTAATTAAAAATGTTAAACCATTCCTTGTAGAATAAATATGCTGCAGTATTCAGTACATCCCTCAGATTTATTTATTCTTATCAGGCAAGCAGGAAACAACTACACTAGTCTGCATATCGTCATCTAACACCAAAACACTGAATACATGTTAATCTTGTAGTATCACTTGCAAGGAAAAGCTTAAATATGGAAATTCATATTCTTACCTAGAGCTAGATAAGAAGATCAATACCATTCTCATATCAGTCAATTTGAACAGACAAAAGATGGTTAGCTTAGCTTAGCATAGAGACTGAAAACGGGGGGAAACTGTTAGCATGTCTCTGTTTAAAGGCAACAGGCCCTCTGAATCCTGCTAATTAACAAACATAGTCTTTTTTGTTTTGTCGATACTAAAAGATCAGTATTTTCTTAGTGCTAATATCTTGGTTAAAATACTATTTTTCATATTCCAACAATGTAAACTTCAGGTGGAGCGGACAGTTCAATGCAGGATGTGTAACCGGTGAATCTCAAGCAACACTCTCTGATTACTTTGTTGCTTTGTTCCTTTTGTTTTCACTGCTGATAAACGTCTTATCTGTCCTCAGTAGGCTGTCTGTTGCTTTTGGCCAGATCCTCTGCTGGGGAGGATGAGCAAGATAGAAGAAACCCTGGTATGTGGGGTAGATAGACTCCCTCTGATAAACAGTGTCTGTCATCTAGCTATAAGAAGCATATAGGAAAAGATGGCTGCAGAGCTCAGCTTTAAAGTAGTTGCATTTTTTCAAGATAAATCACCTTTGTCATCCTGGGGGGGGGGTTGGGTCAATGTCGATAACAGGGTAGAAGGAAAGGGAAATGGGGGTTAAGTGTAAAGTTTTCCTCTAAATATACTAATAACAACTACATTTCCTTGTTACCAGTCAAAATTGAAGTTATTATTGCAGTTCAAAGTTATTAATATTATTAATTAATGTTGTTTTGCACAAATTGAACATGCCAATGACATAAAACTAACCTGAGAATCATTTTTGACAGAATTACGCAGTCAAAATATTTTTTTCTACTTTTTGCTCTCAGCTGTGTTTTTAGCTGAATTCGGGTATACTTTGCTGTTGCGTTTCTTGTTTCCTTGCCAGCCCACCTGCCCCTGTCACTTAAGCTTTTGTGAAATATAACACCAGTTTACAGCTGTGTATGTTGTACACTTACCCTGAACCAGGGCCGATGCTCAGTCAAATTGGTCCATATTCCTCCTTGTATGAAAGCAGCAATGTGTGCGTGAAATAGATGCTGAGAAGAAAAATGATAACTGTGAACGAATGTGTGAGGAAATCATTCTGCTATAAGGGCTCAGCATGCTCTTAACAATGGAACTGATGCAAGATTGAAAATCTGGAGAGCCATGTAGGGAAATAGAAAACCTGTTTAGCCTCCAGTTGTTTGCATCTAATCATATTTTTATTGGAGAGGGGGAAGGTTAAGCCATTCAGTATTTCAGATGTGCAAGATTTGCAGAAAGACTGTATGGAGTATAGCTTCATAGAGAAAATAAATAAATAACCATAATCAAATGTATGTTAAATAAATACTTCAGATAAAGATGCAGGGTTGGATATCCTGATAACACTTTGACATTTAACCAATGTTTATATTTTTCAAATAAATTAGTGTATTCTGACGATGATGAATTCTGCATTATCTTATCGTAACGTTACAGTTGTATCTGTCAAATCGTGACACAGACAGCTTCCTGAGTCTTTTATCTCGAAAAGTATCCTTAGTCTCCTTTAACCACTTTTTAAATCAGCAGATGCTCAGAAAAGTAGAATTACGATCATAGTTGAATGTAGTACAACAACTATTATTCAAAGTGACGTCTTCAAATAGCATGCCAACCGACATCGAAAGATATATATTTTATAGTGATACAAAACAGTAAAGGTTTGGCCTTTCTGCCTCATAAATATCCAGCAATTCATTGTTACCAATTACTACCAATATTTTCACCTCTCTTTGGATGCAGTAATAATTGTTTTCCATATAAACAAATTCAGCCTTTCTGATACTCAAAATGGGAAGGTCATCAATCGGTTCCTTTAAACCCTCCTGGAGATAATTAACTTCACAAGATAATGAAAGTTAAGTTAACACAGGAGTCTTTAAACCTCAGGAAACTTGTTGCTGTGGACTTCAGTCCGGGCAGTAATGTGTTGTTTTGCTTTGGTAACAGCTGGGCTTCTCCCTGATGCACTGGGGGTCTGATACAAATGAAACCCAGCGAGGGACAGAGAGCACTGCGGTTTGTTAGTGTGGAGTAATTGACCACATGGTATCCAATAGGCTTGGTGTTGCTGTGTTCTCCAGGATGAGTGTCTCATGGGGCTATGGAAGTGGGGGAGAGAGTGAATGAGGGAGAGAGAAAGGAGGAAGAGGAGGAGGGGGGGGGGGGTAAGGATTTGGAGTAGTCCATTGTTTATCCTGATGGTTTCCAGATGATGGCAGAGGGAGGCAGCCAACCTCCTGGGCCTCTCTCACCAGGCTGCAGGGATCTGAGCCAAGCTTATCTGCTGTAGCCCTAAAATCTGGCTTTACATCGCTCTGCGCACTCTGGGGCAGATTTAAGTTGAACAACTGGAGTTATGGCTTTTGGATGGGATGAGTTATAATGCACATAATAAACTAATTTAACATCTATTTATCCTAAAGTAAAAGTTTATTACACATGGTTCCAGGCTGCAAAGATCTTCCTTGAAATGTGAAGAGTCTGTTGCTGAACCTTTTTAATTTGTTTACAGTGTGCCAAAGAAAAGGGGGCCAAACAATGGGAAATTCTAGTCAAAATGTGTTTATTACCAAGGCTAAGATATTCTGGCTTCATGATTTTAGCTATGCTAGCGGCTTGGCCCCATAGCAGTATTGATCGTTCCACCAATTTGGTCCAAACTGAAACGTCTCAACATCTCTTGAATGGATTTACATTCACTTTGGTAGACATTCCCTAAACTTTTCATGTAACACCAACATCAGATCACAAATCATTTCATATTTATTGGTTTGGGTTACGAATAAATACTTGCAAAACGAGTCTATGTTATATTCAGGTCAGACAAAGCTGCTCTTTGTGTTTAGTGCTAATAAGCAAATGTTAGCATGCTAGCCCGCCAAACAAAGAGTTTGAACATAACTGATACACATTAGCATGCTATCATTGCCATTGTAAGAATGTTAGCATACTGATGTTAGCATTTAAATCAAAACACCGGAGTTCCTCAGTAGGCTACTTCGCAGAGTTGCTAGCATAGCTGTTAACTTATAAACTAGCTTAAATATATTTTCCATTTCTAGCCCCAAGCGTGTTGCACCTTTTTCAGGGAAACAGCCTTTTGTAATTATGATTTTATTTTTTTTAACTAGTCATTCTAGAGTTCAGAAGGCTTGATGATGGATTTGTGCCTTTTTCTGCATTCACTCAAACGTTCCTGCTTTCCATCAATGCTTTCCATAAGAGCATGCAGGCACTGTCAGGTCACCAGTGTGATTTTCATTTGTCGGTTGTCAGTGTCACATCTTTGATGGGACCGGTGGAAACTCCGGACTGTGCCATGCCCTCTGCTGACCTGTGGGCTCCAGACTTTAGGTAGAGTTTGTTTTGCTTGTTCTGCAGAATGAAAGCTGTTTCCTCCCTCAGGAAGATGATGCTCTGTGCGCTTGGGAAAGAGACTTGCCATCAAAAGTGACCTCCCACAGTGCCTCATGGTGGCAAAATGAAGCAAACACAGGCCTCAGAATGCTTCACAGTGGCCTTCACAGTCAGAGACGTATTTTCTTAAACACATGTAGCCTGGAAATGAATAAAATGATCTGTGAGAAGTTTTGAACCTGACATATGTTCCTGCTGGGAAATCAAAACAAAGGTTTGACGTTTAGCTCCTCTGGTGCTGCGGATTCAGTCTTAATTTTGACTTGGCCTACTTTTCGGGCGAGGTGATTTTAATTTAAACCAGTCTTGTCGAGATTATTTTCTTGTGATGGGTTTAGTATTTTGTTATGTTATACAAGTGCAGAGTTCATCTGGGTTTTATTTCCTCCCTGCTAAGATCTTTGTGTCCTGATTGGTGGGTCACAGCCAGCTGGGAGGGATGACTGAGGGCCTGAGGTATTTGTCCTATAGCAGAGAGGCCTCTCCTATTGGTCCCCCCACAGGCTGGGGCCTCCTTTATGGTCTCCCGGGAACACAGCTGGATGGAGCGAGTTCATTTCTAATGGGAAATATGAGACTCCCCTTTTCTTTCCAACAAATAGATTATACTTAAACATTACAATATAACCCCACTTGCAAGAAAAAGTAAACTTTTACAGTTTTTCTTGGGGTCTTCTGGATTTCTACACTGCCTTTCTAGAGTTTAGATAAGATAAGAAAAGTTCCTTTGAAATGTAGTGCTCACTCTTCCAGAGCCGTAATAATCAAGCATCAAAGCATATGAGTTTTTTAACTTACATTGACCTTAAATAATCATCTCATTCCAGAGGAAAAAAAACTCCACTCTCTTGACCACCAACAGGGCTGCTATCACTTCCCGTTCTAATCACGCAGAGCTTTGAATTGGCTGCCGTCCAAAGAAACCAAATAGGTCAGCAAGTATCCTCCAGTGAAAGGTGGTGAGATGTAAAAGCCAAAAAGTTTGCAAAGCTGTTGAAATGTCTCGTTTTTAAGGGTTTCAAGAGGACGCTTCAAGCGGGTTGCACACAAGGTCAGTAATGTGAGAACTGTTTTCTGCTCTGTGTTTCTGTTCAGGCTCGACCCAAAGGTGAGGGCCTGACCCCGTACCAGGGAAAGAAGAGGTGTTTTGGGGAATATAAATGCCCTAAATGCAAGAGGAAGTGGATGAGCGGGAACTCCTGGGCCAACATGGGACAAGAATGTATCAAGTGCCACATCAACGTTTACCCTCATAAGCAGGTAACAGTATATCCTACAGACAGACGAAGGCTGCTTGGGGGCCCCTCAGTAACAAGGGGCCCCCAAGATGAAGTGGTACACACTCAAAACGTTTTGAACGGGCCCTTCTCGCTGTTTTCAGTTGAGTCCTCACAGGAAGGCTGCTTCACTGCACTCAACAGGGCAGAAAACCAATTTGTGCTGTGACCGCATATTGTTACACTTTATTTCCTTGTAGTTTGACCCTTGAGGCTGAGAGCTGCTTTATGTTTCTCAACGCCCAAGAGTAACCAGTGTACCCGTGGAAATCAAATCCTGTGAAACTGTAGAACAGGCATACTGTTGCAGGCAAAATACCAGAATATGTTTTAAATAAATTATATTGTTTGATTTTTATCACTATCTTATGCAACTTAATAAACGTGGAACACAAGTAGAACAAGAATTGTTTCTTGTTATAGTGTGATGAGTTTGTATGCCGTAAAAAACACGAAAATATCAAATGTGAAAAACAAATCTTGTTATAACAATACTGTAAACTTTACAATTATTTTCCTTTCTGGCATGACAGCAAAACACCAAAGAGTTTAACCAAAAAGGTTGAGTTATATAGTGTGCTGTATTCAGTTACTAAGCTTGATGGAAAAATCTATTCATGGTCCAAAAGCCATGTGTCAATTTATAAAGGCATGGCGTGAAATATTATATAAACAGTAACTCTTGGACAAACTTAAAGGTCAAATGCAGATATCAGCGAATCTGAATCGCCCTTCAAAACGTTTTTGCATATAAAGGTGACTTTTCTTCAAAAATCATAGCCACTAACAAACCATTATTATAGTCTATAACCTTATTATCAATTACAAAGGGCTAAACAAAACATTGCAATCAAAATTATATTAATAAACTAAAGTGAACAAAAAAAAGGAAAATAAAGTGGAATTGGAATTTGGAGATGGAGTTTGAACTTGATACTTGGCTAAGACTGTGTTTACAGGCACTGTAAACACAGTCTTAGCCAAGTATCAAGTTCAAACTCCCCCAGCAAAAGTACATTTAAAAAAGTATTAATTATGCATTTTGGTGTCTGCTGTGATGATGATTTAAATTCTATGATTTGTGAGTAATTGCACAAAGTAGGACGTCAAATCTTTCTGTGTGAGTAACTATTTGTTTGTTTGTTCCAGCGTCCTCTGGAGAAACCAGACGGGTTGGATGTATCGGACCAGAGCAAGGAGCACCCCCAACACCTGTGTGAAAAATGCAAAGTCCTCGGCTACTACTGCCGCCGCGTGCAATAACACACCTTTACTCGCCTTACATACACAACCTTTTAAGAAAAAGGGACAGTTCTATTGCTAAAATGACATGATAATAATAAGTGTTATTGTACTGTTATGCATCTAACGTTTTATTGTCATTAATTATCCTCTATGACACTGTGACTCTCAATATAAGAGGCTCAATTTTTTTACATTGTCTCTCAGTGGAGACAAGTACATTGCATTTGCTGGGTGGTTCCAACTTACTCAGTTATTATCATGTGAATATTCATTTTAAAGTCTTAACTATGAATCTTACCAACTGTGAATTAGGAAACTTAGCTCTGTGTCTCTTGTCACTCATGTCCAAAGTGTAGGAAAAAGGTGTAGTTTCCAGATTAAGAAGATTCTCTTTTACATGTTTGTATATTCCAGAAATAACTTAAATGAAATTATGTTTTCTGTATAAAATATGCAACAAGTCTTTATTAAGAGGGAAATGCAGTATTAGTATGTATCTGCATTATTATTATCTGTATTATCAGTACTGGAGGGTATATACATTTTGAATATATTTGTAAGCCATTACCGTTTGATGATTATTACACTTTGTGAAGGAATATATATTGGCCAACTAACAAGTATCTTTTATTAATATGTGCTTGTATTTCTGAATACACCTTTTAGGGAGTCTGTGATTTCACATATTACAGCAATGCAATAGAGAAAAATGTGCTTCCTTTAAAAAAATATAATGAATTACAGCAGTTGTATTTTGGAACAGAGTGCTTAGAAAGACTCACCAAAGTGCTGTTTTATAGGTCAGAGGTCACAAAGTCTCACATGTTACATGAGAAAAATACAATTTGAACATACCAAAGATCATGAAGGATTTAGTGGGAGGTTTCATGTGATTTAGAGGCTTTTTGTATTAAATATTGAATATGGAGCAGTAATCTGTAACCGTTTAATATGTAACACCGTTCAATGTGCCTTAATTCGACCCATGAGATTGATCTTGTAAAATGTTTTTGTATTAAAATGTATTTAAACATGTTCCTGGTATCTATAGCAAATCTGTTTCTGCTTGTAACATTTTGAGCATATGAAATTGTTTTTAATACACCCATGTGTCCGTGTGGATTTAGGGTGGGGAGGTTTTGGGGAGGATATAATGGGAAAGTCCACACAGGGCTGTTTATGATAAAATCTAACTCAAACTGTACATCGACTTATCCAGATGTTAAAAATGTAATACACACATAACATCACAATCTCCATCTTAACATTTGTTCCAACATCTGGTAGAGTTTACTTATGGCAAAGCGAGATCAGATCTGGCTTCATCGTCACCCTCTCATATACCACCACTGGCAGAGCCTCCAGTACGCTGTGATACAAAACGCAGCGATTCCACACTGACCCCCACTAAAGGAAACATTCCCCTGTGCAGAAGCAATTTGACATCTTGGACCTTAATTCTTCTGGACAGATGTCGGCAGAGTAAATACTTAGCGGAATGGGATCATTAGTCATCCGAGGCTGATGAGAAAAACAGAAGAGGCGAGGGACTGATCTCATTCTTCATCTGGTGATCAAACATTCCCCCAATAAACGGACACACCTTCCATTAAAACAGCTTCGGACAGTTATTGCTATTAAAAAAGTTATTGCAGGTTTAGAGCGTTGTGTAATACTTTACTACTACTACTACTAAGGATGTGTAGTAGAAAAACAGATGGCAAGAACAAGCTTATATTTAGAAAAAATTGTTTTATTGTATTGCCTTTTCACATTTTTTTTTTCACATGTCACAGTTAAATGTGTCACCCGAAGAAGACTAACACAGGATAAGAAACCGATGATCTTTGTCCTGAGAGGAAGCTCTGTGTGCCATGCCTGAAGAAAGAGCCTCTTTCACTCGGACCCTTGCGTAGAAATTACAGCAGGAGATGAGACTAGGACCGTGTCCACCAAGTCTACTCCAGCTCTCCGCAGTCTGCGATAGTGATCCTCTTGGAGGTTTGCCCAGACTGGGAACCGAAAGCCTCCACTTTCTTGATCACGTCCAGTCCCTCCTTCACGCTGCCAAAGACAACATGCCTGCCGTCCAGCCTAAATGAAGAAAGAAGAGCTGTATTATCACTGCCCCGCACTGAGAGACAATCCCTGATGCACCCAGCAGGCTTTGACTCATGACTTTGTGTTGGGTGATGCACTATTCCTGCAAGAATTCTGCTATTTTAGGCCATCATTCAAATCTTCTTTCTGCTCCTCCTGTCAAAACATGACATGAATTCACAGCATCCACCAACAATTTTGTTCCCAGAAGATCTGGGGAAAAAACCTCTGGAACAGCATTTTAAATATAACTGGGAATCACTAACTACATATCTCCTAGAGGCTGCAATAACAAAAGTCATCCAAAAGGCAGCAGAATTGTATTGTTGGATGGTATACAAAATATATTTTTCAAATTGTCCCAGGGTAGTTTCTCTTCTTTCCATGTTGTGAGGGACTCAAAGTCAAATTTGACAAAATGTGTCAAGTTTGCAGTGTCCAAACTGCACAGTGCCCCAGAAGCACTCACAGACTTTAGGTGAAACCATGAGCTTTATCATTTTGATTATCATATTTTACATATATAAGTAAGTAGTCATTCAAGTTATGTCCATTTAAAAAAGGCAGTGAAAATGAAGATCCATGGAGGCTTTAATACTTGTGGTGTACAATTAAACCTTTGAAAATATGAGCTGAGAGTTGCTTGGTGAAACTGGCACTGTTTAAATAGGATAGGTATCACCCCAGTATAATTATTTTTACTTTATGTTGAGTATTGATGTGTCTGCTTTTGTTTGGTTTTCCCAATTGCACAAGATCTTCAGTTTTCAGCAAATGATCAGAGCTCTATACAAATTAATGACAAATAAAGCCAATGACGGTGAAATGCTGTAAAAAATAAATAAATACAGTAGCATCAAGACTCATGATGTTGTCTGTCAGCACATACCATTCGGTTTTAGAGGTGCAGATGAAGAACTGGGATCCATTGGTGTTGGGTCCAGCATTGGCCATAGACAAGATACCTACAATGCATCAATTACAAAGTATTTATCTTAAAACATGTTGTGCATTCAGCTTACAAAAACAAAACAGTTATCTTAACAGCTTTACTTTTCCTGTCAAGTCAAAATGTCCATGTTGAACTGGAGAACAGATTTCATTATCATCTAAAACTTAAACCAAGATGATTCACAACACATCAACACTATTTGCATAATGCTGCCACCTGCTGGTGAAAATGAGTTAGCCAAACATTCTGAGTTACCCTCTTGCATAATGTTTAATGGCTTTTACATAACAAAATATTCATTCATATTATCTAGATTAATGTAAATAATTACAAAATATAGAGAAGACTTTTACCTGCCAAAATACTGCAGCTTCTTAAGAGTGAGATTTAGTACATTTGCACGTTTCTGTGTATCCCATCCTCTCAATATATTGTGCAGTGATTAAGACGTAATGCTGCAATTTGTGCAACACTTTGAGGTTTGTTGCAACAAAAGTAATACTGAGTACAGAGTTTGGATGAATAGAACAGTAGCTGACAGTATTTATGAAAGAAAACAGATTCTGCATAATTCTGTGATTTCAACTGATACTTGAAGATAATGCATCACGTTAGCCAACTTTCTACATCGACATACATAAATACACTGTGTATATCTTCTTTTGTGTACAAACAGAATAAGATATTTACCAGGTCCAGTGTGCTTCAGCTTGAAGTTCTCATCAGAAAACTTCAATCCATAAATAGACTTCCCTCCGGTTCCATTGTGGTTAGTAAAATCTCCACCCTGAAATATAACACTGCTGTCATTGCACTGTAACACCATGCCTGTGGGACAACAAAAGGACAACAAAAGGAAAAGACAAAAGCTTACCTGGCACATGAAGCGAGGGATCACCCTGTGGAAAATCGATCCCTTGTAACCAAAGCCCTGTTCCCCTGTGCAAAGCGCTCTGAAGTTCTCTATGAGAAAGATTTGCGTCAAATTCTCTCTCACAATCAACACAGGTCAGTGCTTCCCTCAAGTGTTAGTTTGAATTGGAATGTATGATAGTCCCTCTTATTTGAAAAGGAACAACTAATCTGTACTTAGTTTGGGTACAGGTTATTTCTTTTTATTATGGCTGGGTATCTCAGTGTTTAGGCACACACAGGCTGTGTATGTGCAGAAGTATTTAAATAATATTCAAACCATGCCAAGCTCTTGTCATTCAGACTCTAGGCATGTCTGGTATCACAAAGGAAATCACAAATGAGTGTAAGTGTGTTAGTGGTGATTTTACATGCATAAATAAATTCAAAGATAAATAACAATGACTTTACTTTAAGACAGCCATGCTTGAATCAGTTTCAAATAGCAGAATTATCTGTAACTTAAATCCCACCCAAATAACTCATGTGTGATGTTTCGGTATAATATTATTGGTGCACAGAAGGAGAATATTCTCAAAACAAAGGAATACTTACTCCTTTAGTTTATGAGAAATATTCAAATACATTATCACCTAATGTGAAGAAACGTGAAAAAAGATGAATACTAGTAATGTGAAAGGTAACTAACGCTGATGGATAAGAGTAAAAAAAACATGGTTTGACTTTCAGATGCAATTGAGTATACGTGTTTGTATTGAGTGTTTTCAGGAAAGGAGACTCGTGTACTGACCTGCAGTTCTTGGCACAACGTCTGCGTTCAGCTGCAAAAAAAACAGAATGCCACAGGGTCAAATGTGGACAAGTTGTTCTCTGGAAAACTAGAGCCGCAGCGACTATTAACTACTATACATACTATCTATGTTAACGTTACTAACCGGAAACGATACATATTTCAGGTGTTTAGCAGCGGTTAGTTTCTTTTTCATACAGTGCAAACATGACCTAAATGAAAGTAGAAGTGTCTCACCTCGAAGGTTACTCTGCCGACAAGCTGGTTGTCTGCAGCAATGTCAAAGTACACCGTGGGGTTTTTGTTGGCAGCTGCAGGGCCGGTGCTGTACATGCGCGCGAAGGTAAACGCGAGAGAACATACTTTTATTCTGTTTGTTAAAAGTAACATTTTCCAAGTTATTGAGGCTCAGCTAGGCAATGAGCAAGTGTCACGCTTACATATGAAAAGCAAGGAAGTGCTTCTCACGCAACCGGAAGTATATCAACTGCAAGCTGAGACGGGAAACTCTCGCGAGATTAAACGTGATACAGAGCATGCTTTGCATAAGGGGACTTTTGAAATGGCTCTGCTACCATATCGACTGTACATTTCTGATAGGATTACATTTGGTATGTTTGGGTGTGTGCATTAATTCAGCTAATACTGTTATGCTATTATACATCATGCCTACTTTTAATTAAATGTTTAACTTTTGTTTATCTATGTTTTTTATCCTTTGCATTTTTAATCTGTTTATATTGTTTTTAGGCAGGCCTCTTGTCTAAACTATGATGCAACTGCACAAAAGACAAGACCACAGTGACATACAGGTATCATCTGAATACGTATTTATTAGATAAATATTAGGTTGTCACATCATCTAACTACATACAGTTCTGCAAGACTAAAAATCACAATTAGTTCCTTTATTTTCTGACCAGTTTAGAATATGAAATGATTGTACATACAATGTACACAATAGACACAATGGCCACATTGCATGAATAACCTTAGATTGTGTCATTTTTCCAACTTCTTATGATATCAAAAAATTGTACAAACTATGGATTTGGTTACAATCTTTTGGACCAGTCCCTCCCACCACCTTCCTCCCACCCCAGCGAAATAATTTACTTGTAACCTTGTTTTTACTTCCTTTTTTAGCTTTAGCACCTCAGTGTATGCAGGTGACAGACTAGAACACTTAGGCTAAATATTACATATAAAACATAGCTGTCCCAGTCCCCTGACATAAGAGGTGAAAGTATATTACAGAGGGAGAACAAAATGCTGAAAGATACCCACAAACATTCACCAACAAGTTTCATTTTCCATATTTAGCCACTTCCAGTAGAGGGGTTGCAAGCTTTTATTATTCTGAAGAAACAATGCACATTCCCAGGGAACATGAATACATTTCTGTTCACATGTCTCTATAATCATTTACATATATACAGGCATCCTTGGGACGTTTGATCTAGCCTTGCCCTCGACATCCTTTCCCGGCCAGAATGATGCACGTGCCCTTCCTCTCTGTATTTTGTATTCATTTTTATTTTTTTAAACAATTCCCAAGAGTAATGGCCCTTTTATAGTGATTGTGCATCAACAGATTTGGGGTGCTGCCTTATAGATCAAATTGGCTCACTTGGAAGTGAGAACAAAATGTGAAATGATGAAGACTTTCATGGGAATGAACAAAAAGTTTCAATTCAGATAACGAAAGATGAAAATGGGGTAGTGTATAATTTCATGGGGGATTATTCGATGTGTCTTTGTGACATAAATATGAAACAACATGTCAGTGTGCTGAACTGGTAAAAATAATATTTTATAAATGACATTTAAAATAATGTTTACATTAAACCAGGGTGGTTATATCAGCACAATGCTACAGTTGAAAGAAATTGGATTTCTAGCCTTACAGATCAATAAGAAAAACCAATACAAAATAATTTACCAAAAAACAAAATATGGGGATAAAAATGTATATGGTCTGGTGCCTTTTAAAAAAGCCACATTTTCTTTAACAAAAATATAAACAATATTGTGGATTTCTTTAAAATATGGTTGTGATATATCTTTAAAATACCACTGTGTATTGACAATTAGCAACAATTATGATATTCACATAGCCCACTAATTACACTGAAAGCCAGCTGATACCACGTCTTTTTTTTAAAAACCATTACTGTTTTGTATCACTGATAAAATGTTAACAGAAATTCATGAATACACAAACTTTTCAACCGAATACATCTGAGTGTGAAAGAAAATATTGCAAGCTTGACATCTGAAAACTGAAATGATGCTACACAATCACCGTGAGCTGATGCAGGGAAGATGGGACACATCAAAATGGGACGCCTGTCTATAAACGACAGGCGTGAGACAGAGTGCACTGGGAGGAAAGTGACGAGAAAGCACGCGACCTGCAGGAAATAGCTTATGAGACATTTGGACTGGCTTCCTCACAACAAGGATGCGAGAGAGCTGTCGTACGCTGGTTACAAACAAAGTCAGTGGTTAGGTGGGAGTCTGGGAGCATACGTTGTTAGGGTCGGACGACTAATGATCAAAGGACAAACATTATCAAGATGATACAAAAATATTCACAATGATATTTACAGTACAATAGCTTTTCTTAAAAAATAATACATTTGCATACTGAACAGCACTCTTTTCCAAAGTGAATTTGAAAACAAACGTGGCAAAAGGTCTGCACCAATACTGCTTTAAAAATCACTTCTTGAACAGCATTGATGGATAAACTGTTTTTTTTCTCTCCCCTATATCTTTGAAATCAATATTTCCTCCCTTCACACCAATAAAAACACACTCACATAGTCTCACACTCACACTCACACATGCACACACTCACAGTCACACACAGGACCAAGCAAACACAAGCCTCCTTATCCTCATCCCTCTACCTTTGGTGATTTTGAGCAGTTTCCCAAACGATTTATGGATAGTTTAATTTTGCAGCAACAAAAACAAGAAAATAAACAAACATAATACATTATATCCAGCAAATACATGATAAATGTATCGCTGTTATCAGCATTATCCCTTCAATGTTAGTGTTAAATAAATCATACTAAATCTGACAGAAATCAAAAACAAATGTACAAACAAAAAGAGCCATGGAAACAGCAACTGATAAAAACCACACTATCTTTTTTTTTAACCACTTGGAAACATCACTAGACAAGGGCTTGGCACACATGCACTTTGTAGACTACTTTAACAGCACATCATTTAACAGGGAGAGAGATGCAATGTTGCAAAAATGCAAAGCAGACGGCATGGAAGGAGTCGTAGCAGGTAGCGAATAACGCAGCAGAATCTTTACAGGAACCCGGATCTCTCTTTTATTTCCATTAAAGTCACTCCTCTGCACAGGAGGATGATAACTATACAATATGTAGAAGGTATTAGTGGTATGCAATATAAACGTTTTTTCTGTTTTAGTGGGGCCAAAAACCTTCCAGCTGTCATCCCTTAGGGGACTGAAAGGCAGGGATATCTATTTTTGACAAAAATATGTATGTATCACAATTGTAGACAAAGCCAATCATTCCCCAAAACCCTTATGACCAAAACATTTAAAAAACAAGGACAGACATACGCTGATCTTAGTTTTATTTTTGTAAAGACTGATTTTTCTTTTTGCATTGCCAAAATCTCTTGTGCTTTTAAATGATGTGTGGTGGACAAACAGTGCGGCTAACAAGACCAGTCAGGGAATGGAGCTGTGACACCAGGAAGCTGTGGCCTCTCAGTTTGGAATAACAAAATGGATTTAGCGCACACTGGCCAGATAGCGCAGGTTTTTTCAGTTATTTTTCTGTTTTATACAGTGAATTCCTTTTTCTTCTCAAAAGGACACAAAACATGGATAAAAAAATGCTACAACACGATCCTAATGTGCACACGTACACCTGTGTGTGGCGTAAAAAAACCAACTGAGTATAGCTGCACAGTTCAAAAGTATCGCCACGTTGTGAGAGGAACCCCCCCCCCCCACATCCCACTGTTTCTTGGAGTTTGAACCTCTTTCAGTCAATCTGTGCTGGCCAATGAAAACTGTACAAGAGGAAGAAGAGAAAGGGAGTGCATCTTTGTGTTTATCAAGTACTGAGCGACCGCCCGGGGTTCTCGGGGGAAACTGCAGGCAGTCAGAAAAGTTTGTGTCTGATTTGCCTCAGTTGTTTTCGAAGAGCGATAGAAGGTCATCGTTGCTATTGCTGGGAAGGTCGGGGGGGTCCAGGTATGACAACAGCTCCTCTGGGTTAGCAAGCTCTGGAAGAAGCTGTAAGGAAGGAGAAATTGGTTAGTCATTGAATACACACACTATTAAATACGGATATTTTCTGCTGTGTGTCAGGACTCACGTCTAAAGAAGGCTCGGGCATGTCCGACACTCCTTGGCTGTCCAAACTACTCGAGGGGTTAAAGGACAGGTCGCCGTGGGGATGGTTGTTGGGGCCGGGCGGTTGCTGATGTTGCTGATGTTGTTGATGTTGCTGATGTTGCTGATGTTGCTGAGGAGGCGGAGCCTGTCGTGACGGCTGAGGAGGCCCGTTGTGGTGTAGCTGCTGCCCTGATTGGCTCCCAGGATGTGGAGATGCATGTAAGCTCTGCAGAGGACCATGCGAATGGTCATTGCCTACAGAGTGAGGTATCTGTGGAGAGATGGGGAAATAATCAGACCAGGGTTGTTACCGATAGTTACTAATATGGTCTAAAAAAAGGCTCCACAAATGTTTATGACATGTTGTATTCGTGAGTGAATTCAAAAGGTTTCTTGTGTTCGTTGGAAATACTAGCAATACTAGAAAAGCTTTCTTTCTGAAAGTTACATAACAAGATAGATACCACTCTGGCGGTGGATGAAGTACTCAGATCTTCTAATTAAGTAAAACTAGTAATACTAATGTGGACACACTTGTAAAAGTCCTGTGTTCAAATGTGTCCTTATTTAAAAGTACAAAAAGTCATATTGAACAAAAGCCCATTTTGGAATAATTTAGTGGGAATGTTGATACAGCATTCCCACTACTTGTTCTTCTACGCATGAATTCTTTATTATTATTATTCCGCCGGGTTATTTTGCGCCTCTTCTGCTCCCACATTCCACATCGCAGAAACTCTATTCAAACATCAAAACGTTCAGCTCGATCGGGAATCGATGGCTATTACTTTACTCATTCATAACTTTCATAATTCCAGAGATATATCCCATCATTCATCACATTTTCATCTTCATGCGACTTCAACTGCTAACTGTTCCTTCATACTTTCACTCAGAAACCTCATTCCAACTTTAAAATGTTACACATCTTTCTGACATTATTCGTCTTACACAACTTTTAAATCAGATTCATACTTTTAGAGATATTAAACATTGTTCAGACCTTGGTAAAGAGGCCTTCTTCAGATTTTAACATTAGTGTGTATTGCGCAGCTCGTTAAGGCTAGAGTGCGT